CTGTGTGTTTGCATGTGGGAAAGAACGAGTCACAATGTCTCTCCATTGGGCATGAGGGCCTCCTCTGGGGCCTTGTAATTATTGGCAGTGACACCAAAAGATCAACAGGTCAGTCTGAACTCCCTTGTGGGGTTTCTCATGGATAAGAGACTAGCCTTTGATTACATCCTGGCTGTCTGAAATAAGCCCTGCATGGTCACAGCTTGATGAGTCCAGGACACTGGATGGCAGGTTGGCCTCATCAACAGGAGTCACTGCTACTTGGAGTCCCGCTGACAGTAATTAAATGCCGTATGAGACAAACTGAATTTGGTCCCAGCCTCAGTCGTTAATCAGAGCAGCTAATGGAATGGCATACGCATGTGAAAATTCACCAGAAGCCAAGAGAGGTGCATTGTTTGGAAAGACAGCCCTCCACGGGGGTCTTCTGCTTCTACATGTCTTGCTGGGTGTGCCAAGAACACACAACCCTGATAGCTTTTTACCTGGGCCATTCTCAAGGTTGGGTCTGCAGTGAGAGCACCTTGAGGGATGAGGTGAGGTAATGGCTCCCTCTAGGACAAAGAGCAGGCTTGCCTCCTGTCTGCTATCAAATGGTGTGTACCCCACGCTCAGCGTCCCTCTATTGTAATGCAACCAGTCACCGCATGTGCAGCGTCCATCTGGACCTCCACTTTGCCCCCATGGGGCAAGGGAGGCCAACACACAGGTCGATGCTTATGCTGCTGCTGTAACAAAGCCTTTTGTCTCTAACTCAGGAGTCTCAAGGCTCCTGCCAGCATTTTGGAAACAGTTACAAGGCTAATTTTAATTTATTAGCTTGTAAATAGAATAAAATCAAGTCCCAGACACAACAGTCAGCGGGGTGAAGCCAAGCTTGGGTTTCCCTAGCCGGGCTGTCAGCCCCTTGGCACCTCCTGAAGGAGGCTCTGTTGAGATTTGCTGATTATTAGCATTCCAGAACATCCAGGGCCAGTGCAGCGTTTCAGTCTTATGGGAAAAGAAACCGAGTCCCTGAATACTGTGTGCTTAAGGTCATCCATCTCCTTGCATCTCCTATAGCACTTGGTCCTATACCCCTAAAGCTGGCATCCAGAACTCTCTTCCTAAACTGCAGTGATTAAGTAAAAACTTCAGGGTTGGAGTGACCCTCTGAAGTGTGTCTGCTGGTGAAATGCTGGAGAAAAGGTAAGCAGATCTTAGCAGTGAATGACATGGGGATTGCAGGCCAGTTGGGAACACAAGTCTCTTTTTCCTACAAAGGAGAAGGCATTGCTTATACCCATAGGACCAAGTCATTTTAGGCAGAAATAATGAGGAAACGAGTAGGGGAGGGCAGTGCCATTAGACACCAGGAGCAGGCAGGGCCGGGGGGGTGGGGGGACAGGCATAAGCTACTGTCTCTGCTTCCGTTAGCCATGGAAGATGAGAACTGAATGGCAGGGAACTCACTTTTAAAGAGCAGATGGACATGTCTTCATCTTCGGAGGGCCCTTATCTCACCTACATTTTTCATCCAAGTATTTATGTCCACCTTCCCAGCTTTAATCTCGCCTCCATTTGTAAACCTTCCAGAGTAGGGGAATAAGGGAGGGACACTTGCTGCCACCGACAGGCAGTAGTGATAGGCTCCCGTGTCCCATTTCCCTTTCTTCCTTTCAGTAATAGAAGTCCCCAGGTTTTAGTGGGTATGTGGCTGCCCAGCTAGAAACTCGCTGTTTCCCTGTCTCCCTTGCAGCTGGATGTGACCAGGTGTCTAAATCCAGACTGAAGGGATGTGTGCTGCCTCCAGGTCGGGTCCTGGAGGTGTGCCCTCCACTTGCCCTTTTCCTTCCCGAGAACCCGATGGTGGGGGCCAGGCTCCCCATAGGCCCAGGGGCGACATCCTGGAGGAATGCAGAGCACCCAGACAGAGGGAGCCCAGTCCCTGGATGATCTTGCAGTCACCCACTCACCTGCTCTGGACTCCCACCAGCTCAGGTTTTCGTGGGAGAGAAAAGTGAAGATCTCTCGTTAAGCCTCTGTCTTCAGAGTCTCTGAAAGCTGCCACATCCTTAATATAATATAGGAGCGAATAACTGGGGATCTGAAGGACCAGACCAGGGCCTCCCTGGGCCCATTCACTCACTCACCCCGCGATTCTATTTAGCACAGCGGTGAAGAGCTAATTCTTCCGCTTGAGTCTGGGAGGCCTCACACTGCTGTCCCGCAACCTACCAGCCCAGGGCCCTGCTGTACCTTTTAGGGCTCAACTACATATAACATGGGGATCCTATTGCCAGTTTCATAAGGAATCATGAGACTGTGTTTGTGAATCATAAGAAAAACTAACACTTATCAAGTATCTTATTTACCTTGTCCCAGGCACGCTCTGTGCAAAACCGTTTACCTTATGAGGTAAGTTCCATTTGACAGAGGAGGACAATGAGGGCCAGACTGACTAACTTAATGGTCCACAGAACAGTAAGGGGTAGAGCAAGGATTCACCCGTAAGCAGACTGACCTGCAGAACCCACACTCGTAGCCACTCTAAGCTTGCTCTAACCTGCCGTGGCCACACTGCCCGGCATCAGGTAACCTAATTCACCAAATGACAGGGAGCACCAACTCTGAGTCACACTGTTCCAGGTGCTGAGCAAAGCAACGAAGCTCCCACCCTCCTGAATTTATGTTCTGCCAGGAGAGACAGGCACTTTCTCTCATATCCTGCACACTGTTGTCGGCAAAGCCACAATCACTGTTCACCTCCTCTTCTCACTCAGAGTAAAGACCAAAGATCTTTGATTTACAAGACATTCCACCACCCACCCCAACCATCCCTCCTCTTCTACCTCTCTCCCTCCAGCTCTTCAGATACACAGGTACATTCCTGCCTCAGGGCCTTTGCACTTGCCACTCCCTCTGCCTAGATATGCCTACATGTTCTTGCATGGCTTGTTTTCTCACCTTCAGATCTGTACTCAGAAAAGACATCAGTGAGGCTTCCCTGGTAACTCTATCTGAAATCCAGCGTCTCCCAAACACGCTACATAGTTATTCCCTGGTCCCCCTTCTTGCTGTATTTCTCTTCTTAACACATATTACTTTAAAAAAAAAAAAAATAGAGTTCACTGAGTTATAAGTTACATAAAACCCATTTCAAATATACAATTCAGTGATTTTTAATAATTTTACCAGGCGGTGCAACTATCACCATAAATCTGCTTTAGAACATTTTCATCCACTTCCCCCCAGTAAGATCCCTCATGGCCATTTACAGCTAATCGCCATTCCCACACTCAGCTCCCAGCAACCACTAATCTACTTTGTCTCTCTAATTGCCCTTTCTGAATACTTCATATGAATGATATCATACAACATGCAGTCTCTTGTGTCTGGCTTCTTTCACCCAGCATGTTTTTGAGGTTTATGTAGCTGTAGCGTATGTCAGGAGTTCATTCCTTTTTATTGCTGAATAGTATTCCATCGTATGGATAGATATATCACATTTTGTATATCTATTCACCAACTGATGGACACTTTTGTTTCCAGCTTTTTCTAACATACTCTACATTTTGTCTTGTTCCCCGCACTACAATGTCAATTCCACGGGGCTGGAATTTTTGCTGGTTTTGTTCAGCTCTGTGTCCCCAGAACTTGAACTGTGCTGGACACATAGTAGGTACTCAATAAATATATGCTGAAGGAACACGTGAGAATAAAGATAACCTCAGAGAGTGGTAAGCAAGGGCTATCTATGCTGGCCACGAAGCAGGGGAAAGGGGATGGAGTGACGAGGCTCTGGGGAGCCAGCAGTCAGGGCAGTCTCCTCTAAGGAATGGACTTTGGAGCAGCGACCTGAATGCACAAGGCTGATTACTACACGCTCATCATCATCCGCAGGCCTCAGCTACCTGCTCCTGCCTAAATACCAGCCTTGCCTGCCACTCCTGCACATCCAGGCAGCCAACTTGGCAGCAGGGCTGGGCTGGAAGAGGGACTCGCAAGGACTAGCCTCACAGCCATCAGAACAGATGACGCAGGCCCCAACTCCTCCCTGGGCCTAACCTGGGCCCTGCGCAGTGTGGGGAGGGAAGGCTGGGCTCGCCTGGCTGCCCCTTCTGCTGAGTGACCCCCAGGGCGAGACAAAGGGGTCAGGCACAGCCTTCGACTTGAGCTACACTGCCTGGGTTCGAATCTCAGTTCTAGCCTGTTCACAGGAGCTAATTTTGTCCATCATCTTAACTGGTCCCTCAGTTTTCTCATCTGTAAAATAGGGATAGCAACCATAGCTACCTTTTACTTAAAAGCCAAACATTATTTTATAAGCACTTACTCCTTGTAACTGTGTGCGGGCATGGTTGTGAGAAACTAATCCATTTGATTCTTACAACAGCTCCATATGGTAGCTGTTCTTTACAGATGAGGAAACTGAGGCCCAGAGAGGTGGAGTAACTTTCCCCAGATCACTCTGCTACTAAGTAATACAGATGGGCTTCCAATCAGCAGACTGGTTCTAAGTGCATGCTCTTCACCCCTTCAGACACTGCTTCTCACCAAGCCAAAGGCATTGTTAGAGTGAGTTAATGTATCTGAAGCCCTTGGAACAGCGGCCCAGCACGTAGTAAGTACCCAAGGAGTGTCAGTATTATCACAGAGGGCACGGGGAGGCACCCTCCCTCTCATTTCTTCAAAAGCAAGGATCTGACCCTTTTAAGGGAAGCTTTAGCCCCTCAAATCTGCAACTGCCCACACATTCCTCCCCCAGCCCCACCCACCGCTCACTTGCCAAGGCTCACTGGGTGGGTGGTGGTGTGGGGGAGACATAAGTTAACTGTCCACCCTCCTCATTTCCCAGAGGACCAGTTGGGCGGTGCCGGGGAGGGGCTGTGAGTCAGGGCTAAGGACTCTGAACAAAAGTCTTGGGTAGGGCTCCTCAGAACTTCCGGGGCCGGTCCACTGCCTCTCTCTAAAGCCGGTCCCCTGCCTTTGGCCCTGCAGACATACCTTCTCTCAGCACCATGGACGTCGACCTGTCCGCAGGTGCGCTCCTGGGGAGTGGGGAGCTTGAGGGGCAGGAGGACAGACTCAAACCCAGGGACTGTCTCCAACGGGGCATTCCCTGCGCTTGCACCAACGCACCCAATTTCTCTTCTCTCTGCAGCCCTGGAGTCCACCTCCAAGCCCCAGGGGGCAGACCTGGTGGGAGACCCCAAGCACGCCCCCGACAAAGTTGAGGGAGCTGATACGGTAAGTCACTTCATTCTTGGGAGGGTGTTTTTGACCCCAGGGCCCCGCTAGGTCTGGGGCCTCCGACATGGAGGGATGGGAGCTGGGAAAGGGGTTCCCCGGCCTCACTGCCTTGCCTCCGACTAGGAACGCCACGGCCACGGCCACGGTCACGGCGGCCACGGTCACGGCGGCCGCGGTCACGGCGGCCACGGTCGCGGCGGCCACGGCCACGGCCACTCCTCAGATTCCAGCGGCAGCGCCAGCGACTCAGAAAATGAGGCGAAGGTAAGAGTCTTACCCCTCACTAGCGGGTGCCCGGCGCCCCAGGTGAGGGCGGAGTGGAATTCGGGCCGACGTCTCACAGGCGAACCCTCTCTCCTCTCCCTCCCTCACCGCCCTCCGCCCCACAGCCCTACGCTGCCGCCGCCGCCGGCTCTGAGAAGCACAAAAGCGCCCTGGGCAAGGTCAAGAAGCCCAAGGTGAAAAAGGAGAAGAAGAAGGAGGAGGAGGAGAAGGAGTAGGGGGAGGGCGAGGGCGAGGGCGAGGGCGAGGGCGAGGGCGAGGGCGAGGGCGAGGCTTCCCACTGACGGGCCTGTCCGGGGCTCATTAAACCTTCTCTCGGCCTCCAGGTTGCCTTTTGTCCGCGCCCCGCCCTTCCCCATCCCCCTTCCCGGACCGGGCCTGCCCCCTGCTGGGCACCGCGCGCCAAGGAGAGGCCGCCCACGCCGTGCCCATTACGGTTTATTGTTTCTGGAACAGTGGCCGCACTGCTGGGGGGCGGCCTGTGCATCTGGAGATCTCAGCACCTCGGCGAGGATGGGGAGGGAGGGACTCGGACGGCGGGGTGGACCCTGTGGCCGGCAGGTGGCCGGGAGATGAGCGGCGGCAGCGCGGTGGCCACCGGAAGCAGCAGCTGGAGGCGTCGTGGGGCCGCCCTCACCGCACCAGGTGGAAGGTGAGCCAGTACATGAGCAGGGGCTGCGCCGCCGCCACGGCCATGGTCAGGTACATGCGCAGCTGGTTCCGCGCCCCACGCACCGGGATGCCCTCGGCCGCCGCCTCGGCCAGGATCTTCAGCCGCAGCGTCCGGATCTGGGCGGAGGAGGGGTTCACTCTTGAGCCCGCACTCCTTCCAGACTCCAGTTTCCCCACCCCTCCATCGGGCAGCTGGGCTCAAGTCTCTGCTCTTGAGGAACCTTGGTTTCTCCCAAATCTCCTAACACACGCGGAGGACCTGCTTCTCCCAGGCCTTGGGAGAAAATGTGAGGGTTCCAAACTCAAACGCTAGGCAAGGCCTCTTAAGTGAGGTGAGGAACTTCACTGTGAATGCTCCACCTGAGGGGATGGCCAGGCTTGGCCCTTTGGCCGCCACCAGCTTGTGTTGACCCTTGACAATTTTTCAACACAAGCCAGAAATGCCTTCTTTTTCTTCTTTTTTCCCCTCCCCTCACCCCCCCCCCCCACCAGCTTGTGTTGACCCTTGACAATTTTTCAACACAAGCCAGAAATGCCTTCTTTTTCTTCTTTTTTCCCCTCCCCTCCCCCCCCCCCCCCAGAATTTTAAATAATGACATCTAAGTCGAAGTTTATCTGAGCAGATCTGGCCCACCAGCCACTAGTTTTTGCTCTCTGCTCCTCACACTGAATCCTCCCAGTACCCTGACGTGCAATTATCATCATCCCCATTTTACAAAAGGGGAAGCAGGTTTAAAGAGAAGAAGTGATCTGCCCAGGATCCAGCGAAGCCTGGGTTCAAACCCAGGCCTGGTGGATCCCAGTGCTCTTAACCAGCACCTCCACTCCAACTGGATGAACTCTCAGAGAAGCTACTTTGAGGATACTGAACTCTTTTCATCCTAAAGGAAATTCTGGTAGAAAGCCCATCATGCAAGGAGAGTGGAGTGAGGGTGAGAGCCCACTCTAGTAGCCTGGCTGGCACCTCCTCTTCCCTCAGGACCCCGCTTGGACACCCCCTCTTCCAGGAAGCTCTCCGGACCCTCAGGCTAGGGCAGCCACTGCAGGGCTCCTCAGTTCACCAGTGTGGGGCCTCTGGTCTAAACTCCCCACCTGACACCCCCTGCTTGGATGCCTCCAGGGACCCCCAACTCTGCCCAGGAGGCCTGTGCCCTGAGTCCCATCCTTCCCTGAGCCCCAGCTCACCATGAACACAAAGATGGACACACAGCACCAGCCCAGCACCAGGTAGTACCCCATCTTTCCAAAGAGCAGGCCCATGAGGACCCCACCAATCATCCTGTGGGGGAAACGGGAAGGCTCGTCTGAGGAAGAAGCCCCAGGGCTGGGGGCTGGCGGTGGGAAGGCGGAGGGGGTACTCACCCAACATATTTGTAGCCCAAGAAGGCCACCAGGTCGATAGTGGTGAGGTCTGTGTTGACAGTGACAAGGTAGAGGCTGAGCAGGATGGCCAGCACCTCCAGTGTCAGCCAGGCCAACGCCGAGCTCGCCTGCAGCCCCAGGAGGTCTGGGGAGAACCTATCAGCACCCAATCTCTGTCATTCAGTTAGCTGGCTCAGACCCTCCCTAAGCATCTGCCTAGGGACAGCCTGTAAGGGGGGGGGGGGGGGGGGGG